GGACATCCTCCTTAAACCCATTGACAGTCATATTCTCGATGTGTTTCTCGATTACACTCGAGAGGGACGACCCCTCGTTTTGGATAACACCTGCCATTAAGTCAATGTCTAAATGTTGATAAAAAAAATACTCATTTAGTTGTTATTCATAACAAGTATTGAATGGATTTATGAATTGATTGCAAGACATGAATGCAAACCTGAGTTGAATTTGTTGTCTAGAAATGCCTTTTGCGCGGAAAGTGGCAGATATTCAGTGCCCAACACCGGGAAAGTGAGGGCTAACTCATACATTAGGACCTCCTCGGCGTCGACACCTCTCAAACATTGCAACCATTGGCCAGAATCAGTGCAATTCAGTTGTACTGCCATTTGTTTGGCCTGCAGTACAGCCTCTGATTGACTGATCACATCCCTGTCCTTGTTGTACATATGAGCACCGCTTTGCATAATAGCCCTCTTATATAAGCCCTTTGTTAGGGGTGAGAAAATCTGCACCGATACGGACCAACTGCCGGCGCTCTCACCAAATATAGTGATCTGATCCCTATCCCCGCCAAACAAATGAATGTTTTCTCTCACCTATAGTTTAGTCACAAAAAGTTAATATTTATTTTATATAAAAATTAATTTTGTTTTTAAGTTTATACCCATTTAAGAGCCAATAACTGGTCGAAAAAGCCTACATTTCCCGGAGCCGACTCCACCCCAGCATATAAGTAGCCAAACGGTCCTAATCTGTAATTTGTCGATACAATCACCACATCATGTGTGGCCAAAACACTGCCGTTATATGCAGTCATGAGAAATATTGTTCCCGATGATAGCCCGCCCCCATGAATGTAAAACATCACTGGTCTTAGTGCCGGTGCTTCAGATGACGACAGGCTTTTGTTCACCGCATTAGGTGTCCATACATTTAATACCAAACAATCCTCACTATACGTTAAGTTTGGTAGCAGTTTTTTAGCATCAGGGTCCTCTATTTGCATACAGGAGTTCCCCAATATTGTCCCATCGATTACATTCTAATTAAATGATTATAATTTGTAATTTTATTTAATGATTTGATTATTAATAATAATACCTTTTTAGGTGTTTTGATTGGCACTGGTTTAGCAAACCTAAGCGCACCGACTGGGGGTTCGGCATAAGGTATACCCAAAAACTGGTCAACACTTGTGTTCAACACATCTATAGTGAGACCTCTCACTACACCTGATGTCGTGTTCACATCAATACTATTTGCATATTGAATGCAAACAACTAAACACACAAAACTAACTAATAAATTAAATTTGTTAATCATGATTTATAACTTAAAACATGAGTTATAAAACCTAATGCTTAATAGACTAAACAAACAACATTCATTTATATACTAATTTAAAACCTAATCTCATTTTATTTACTAATAACTAAGATATGGTATTTTAGATAATTTTGAAGTCTTATATTAAGATGATAGTTAGCAGAATGAGTGAGTACATTTTACAAATAAAAGTACTTTCAAGGATGAACTTATTTCATAAATAATCAATAACTATTTATCAAACACCCTACTTTATGTACCTGTATGTACCTTTATGTACCTTTATGTACCTATATGTACCTTTGTGTACCTAAAATTAATTACCTGTTGATCGTTCAAACTACGTATACCTGTATTGCATTAAAATATGTGTAAGCCTAAAACAATTTAAAGCTTTTTGCTATGTAGCGTTTACTGTATATGAAATATTTATTAAACTTCTATCATACTTTTATTAAACTTATTCATTATAAAAGTATGA